GTGCCCCGGCCCGCCCGCCTGCAGTGTTCGCGAGCCACAGCTCTGCTTTTGTTTTGTTTTATTTAATAAACGTTTGAACTTTCCTACTGACTGTCTCTCCCTGAATACTGGGTCCATCTGTCCTCGGTTCATGACACTATAACAAAAAAAAAAAAATCATATTTGATCAAAGATGCATCAGACCAGGAAACAATCAGCCAGAATAGAAACTGTTATTTTTACAGTTTATGGTTCAGATTGTTGATCATTATTTGTTAGGTCAGTTTATTTGTTTACGCGATTAGTGTGCAGTTGTGTTAAGTCTGGATTTTTGCTTAAGTTGAGTTTTTTTCTTTTGATTTTTTTTCCTCAATTTTAATTCCATCACCTTTAACGTAACCTATATGCTCACAGTTACATGCACACTGTTTGACAAAATGTATTTCACATTAACACTGGATATATTTTTAGATTAGTCAACAAGTCAAACCGAAACCATTAGTCTTTCTGATTTTGTAGTTACTTATTAACAAGAGGTGTGTTAGCCTAGGATGGCTGTTATAATATGTTAACATCTCTATCAGCAAACATTATGGCCAAAAATCTCAATTTTTCACAAAACATGTCATCACAGATAATTTATAACACGCTTTTTCTCACACTGTGGTACATATGAAGAATAATAACCCACCTGTATATAGAAGTGAGGCAGAGACTTCAGCTGGGTTTCAGATCACCTGCAGAATTTATTTTGCCACGCTTGCCTTCTGGGGTTCAAAGTTCCTTCTGCTTGCTGCCTGCCAACTGCTGGCATGTTTATATACAACTAGACATGAAAATCGTCACTTCAGTAATAACTTTAAGCAGCATCTCGTCATCAATTCATAATATATGGATGCCTTTTAGTCCTTGTTTAGTTGACCTTTAATATTAACATCTGTAAGAAAATGACAACTACATAACAGTTTCCTGGTCATTTGAATTTATTCCATACATGTGCAGATTTATCTATTTAACCATGATTTAAGACTCATTCACACTGTTTTTTGTTCTAACACACTGGCAGTAGAGCGTGTATTTACAAACATTATATATAGTATATAGTATATAGTATAGTATATATAGTGGAAATCTGATTAAACAATGTATTAACCCATACAAATATAAATAACCAATACAAATTTAAATATATTAAATTTGCACAAAACATCCATAGTTATCTGATTGTTTCTAACCTGATGAGGCTGACCCTGTTAGTCCCGCCTTTGAAACCGAGCTCTACCAGACTAATACTTTGTGTATACGCCAGGCTAAGCATAATTTTTTGTATGCGATAGTAGGTCTGTTCAACTAAAATATTGAACAGTATTTTTATGTTGGTTTTTGTATTGTGCAACTTTCTAAAGTTTAAGAGAAATCAGATAATAATTGTAATCCTCTATGAAGCCGCTTTTCACTGTAACGCATTAGCACCAGGCCTGGCGTCCGGGGAACAAATAGTGGGCGTGTCATACACAATGAGGAGGCAACAAAAGTTTCAAAAAAAAAAATTATGAAACAAAATAAATGAAAAGAATAAATATATGTTGCACATCAATTAGATTTCACATTCCAAAAACAATATAAACTGTAAAAGACAACACACTATGGCACCTCATTCTGAGCTTGTGTTTATATGATGCAGATAAACATTCATGCATATATTTACAATAACCACCAAATGACTTCAGGTTGGTAACTCTCTTCAGTTTGATAACTTTGATAACTCTTAACTTTGACATCGTAGTTAGGATCACTTACAAAGAAAACAGGTCAGGAACAATAAAACATGAATAGTCCTGAATAAATGTTAAATTTGTAACGTTTTTCTTTTTTACCTCTTTGTTTAATTCCATCTTGCAGTTGCTCAGTAAAGTTGCAGTCTTCTTGTGGCTGATGACTTAAATCTCAGAAGATCCTTCCATTACACTGTAAACTTTCTTGTCAAGTCCTTCTCAAAAGTCAGACTTATCAGGTTTGCTTCTTGCCTGTGGAGTGAGGTGTTTTTCTTTGTTCGGAATAAATGTTTTGCAGTGTGGAAAAAGAGTTTTTGCTGTGGAGGCCCCAAAAATCTTGGTGTGTTTTAATGCAGAATTAACCAGAGACATTGTTTGTCAGGGTTTGGCTGTGGTTTGAGGACCCAAATGCAGAGGCAAAGAGGCTGAGAAGATTTCTTGCAGTTTAATTGATAAAAACAGTAAACAAAGGCAGGAATCCAAAACACCAACTTAAATTGTAAAGCAAACCAGAACCATGGAGACATCAGGGGAAACCGAACATGAGGAGCCAGGGAGAGACGAGGTAGGAAGAAAACAGCATAGAGAAACCAGCAACGACAAGGAACCAACAACGAGTGACAGCAGAGGGAGCGTATATATAGCTGACTGAGACAAAGGCAGGGCTAACGAGCTGATAAAGAGCTGATGTGAGTAGAGACAACGAGGAAGCCAAGGGGAAAGGAACACACACAAGAGGGCAACAGAGGACAACAAAGAAAAACCTGAGAACTAAAATATATCCAGAAAATACAACAAAATAGGAATTAAACCTATAAAACTAGAAAACATGGAGTAAAGTAAAGCATAACAGAACCAAGACCATGACATTGTTTCCAAAATGGTGGAATGTGTTGAAAGAAGTTGCCTGACAATGTTTGTTTCAGCACCCTGGATAGCACACCGACATCTGAGCCTCCCTGTTCCCATCTGATCTGTTTGCCTGACCTGTCCTCTGCCTGCTTGTGTACCGACCCTAACTGTTTCCTGATCAGTGAGTCTGCCTGCCCTTGTCCAGCCTGTCATCCGCACTGTGTACTGTACCTGGAACTGGGACCCGACTCCATTCTGGAGTCTCCTTCAGCCCCTAACCGGATCACTGACCTCCTGACAACCGACCACGTCACCCACATCAGCTTTGGCTTCGCCCTCTGGACCATCCTGCTTATATTCCTCGGTTCGGATCGCCTGCCTGTACTCCAACCACCGATAAATCATCATTTGGGACTCTTTGTGTGGCGACCGCCACTCCACGTTGGCAGCCAGCTGGCTGGAACCATCCTCTATCTATAAATTCTGACTGAACTATAACACCAGGTCAGTGGCTCGCACATTCATGATCATTCACTTCCAGACAGACGTGATCACTAACCTGCTGTCTCCACCAGCAGAGGTTCCTGCCTTAAATGCCGACGCAACTTACTCCTATTCTGTTGTCAAAAATGTTCTGAGAAATCTGTGTGTCCCCTTTGAATACTGGATCCTTCAGTACTGAGCCTGACAGAATATGTCTGACAAGGAGAATAAAGTCCTTAACCTTTTTTTTTTTTTTTTACAAAAATGCTACAAATATACATACTTATCCATATAAACATGATATAAACATTATGTTGATTATATTTCTTAATATAATCTATATTATAAAACTCTATCTTGTCAAAAAGCTATAAAAAGAACAGTTAGTCTGCCTCAATTTAAATAAAAAGAGTTCTTTATTGAAAACATAATACTGTAATTATGTCAAAGTGGAGTATAAAAATGTTGCTGGTACGTATTATGTTTCGAGATTTAACAGAAAACACACATGTCACTGGGGTTTATCTGCTGACAGGCTTCCAAACAGGGAGGGGTGTGCACTGCAAGCTTGAGCCTGCCTTTGGAATAAGAAGCTGAGACCACTGGGAGGCAGAGGGCTGGAAAAACACAACTCAACCCGGGGTCTTTCCTCTTCAGTCTCCTTTAGAGCATCAGAGAAGACCTGCTCTGCCATAATCATTATGAAGCCGGCAGTCAAGTGTTTGTGCTTCTTGCATTTGGCCTTTTTTAGTCTTGGACTGGACGCCTTCATATCAGCCAGCAGAAGCAAAGCCACTCAGTCTGATGGTAAGTGACTTGGAGACATGTTTTTTCTTTTTATATTTACATAGCATGTAATGAAATACAACTTTTGCTGTTAGTATTAAAAAGAAAATAAAACTGCATCTAAAATCACCATATCTGGTCTTGAACATGTCAACTGCTCTTAACTCAAAGGAAAAAGTTAATTCTGATGCATAAAGATTAATGCAACTGATCTACATGAAAAGTCTTACACATTTCTAAAGTTCAAACATAAAAAGTGTAATTTAATACATTTGTAATTATTCAAAATGAAAACTATTGGACCCTGGTCACTATCTGGATCAGAGAATATAAAATAGCTGCATTTTAGTCTGCATGGGAATTCTCTTAAAATACAGTCTTTTTTTTTAACAGAGCCAACAATAATGGATACACTGCTAAACCCAAAATTTGTCCTCTGACTGGAAGTAATATTTTTTTTTTTGGAGTCCTGCTAGGAATCTGAAGGAGAATCAGTGGAGGGAGCTAAAGGTTAGGGTGATGCCAAGGAGGCATTCCAGCCTCAAAGACCTGGAAAATTGTTCAAATCCAAAGAAGCATGTAGACATTTTTATAGAGGTTTGATTGTTATGAAGCAAATAGAAAATGTTTCTGCAGATTATTAAGAAAGTTATGAATGGTTTTCTCTTTATATAAAACATAACTCTAGGTGGCTTTTTTGTTTTGATATTTTTTTTTAATTTAATACTCCTTTTAGACTATGTTTTGATCTTTGCAGGGATGCCAGCACCATTTCCTATCAGCAGAGGTGGATAACAATTACTCTTAGAAAAAAAATTACTTTCAGTAATTGCACTTTAGTGTACTTTTTACTTTAACATAAGTTATACTATTGTGAGATTATCAAGAGTCTAGGGTTCTTTATCCTTTCCTAGCATGCAGCCATTACCTACTGTAAAGATTGATTTTCTAAGTTTATGTTGAAAAAAACATTTGGAAAAGTATTTCTTCCACTCATTAGTTTTTTTTGTCATCATTCTACGTATTATTATTCTTAAGATTTTAGTTCATACATTGGAATACAAAAAAAAAAAAAGCAAACAAATGTCTGTATGATTACAGAATCTCTGAAAATCAGAAATATTTAAGCTATTTCTTGGATTACTACTTTAACTTGAGTACAAAGAGCTGGTAAACCGCTTTGTGGCATGGTGTCGAAACAATCATCTGGTGCTGAATGTCAACAAAACAAGGGAAGATGATTGGAGATTTCAGAATAAACAGGAACAAGTTGAATCCTGTTAACATCATGGGAGAAAAAGTGGAGGTGGTTGAGGGGGATAAATACCTTGATGTTCATCTGAACAGCAAACTGGACTGGAGGTACAACTGTGAAGCCTTCTACAAGAAGGGACAGAACAGATTGTATTTCCTAAGGAAGCTTAGCTCTTTTTACATTTGCAGTAAGATGCTACATGTCTTCTATTAGTCTGCTGTGGAGAGTTTGATCTCTTCTGCCATCATCTGCTGGGGTAACGGTATCAGAGCTAATGACCTAAAAAAGCTAAACAAGCTGATTAAGAAGACCCGCTCTGTGCTGGGAACTCGTCTGGAGATTATTTAACAAAGAAGAATTCTTTATAAAGTAAAGAATATTAGAGACAACAATGAGCATCCACTTGAGAAGATTTTTAAATAACAGTGTCTTCAATCAGAGGCTTCTCGAGGTTCGGTGCAAGATGGACGGATACAGAAGATCCTTCCTGCCCACAGCTATAAACACCTGTTAAAAAATGATGTATGATTTGCAATATTTAATTTCAGTTTGGAATTAATTAAGTATTTTTGAATTTAATTTTATCACAAATGGATACAGGTGTGGATATCATTTTAGAAATGTACTAAGCAAAAAAAAAAAAAAAACAAACAAAAAAAAACAAACAAGCTATGATTAGACATCCCACAGAGCAATTTTGGATATAACATTTAAAAATGACAACAAATCAACCAACACATGAAAATGTTAGAAGTACATATGCAGCCAAAATTTCATCTGTTGTTAAGTTGGGTGGAGGTTTGACAGGACCCAATTGCAGACACTGAAGCTGGTTATTTCCCGATTGAATTACAAAAAGGGAAACAGAAGCAAAAATCCAGAAGCATAAATCCACAAAATCTTCAAAAACTGAGAACCAGGAATACTCACACAACAACGTGGGCAAAGAAATTATGACCAACCAGTAAAATGACTGAGCAGGAGGTGCTTATGTGGGAGAGAGAAACAAAGACCAGGCTAATCAGCAGATTGGGAGCAGGTGTGAACAGAGGAGCCTAGAAAGGAGCTAGGGAAAAGGAAAGTGACACAAGAGGGCAACGGAGGGCAAACAAGAAATACCTAAGAACTCAAATACAATCAAAAATAACTAGAATAACACAAAATGGAAATAAAACCAATGAAAACCCAAGATGAAACTTAAACAGAACCAAAACCATGACGCCTGTAACCCAAAATAAGCTACAGAGCTCTACAGCCAGGAAGGAGAATTAGTTTAACTTGTTTGAATAGAATAGCATAGAAAATCCCTTTGTTGTTTCGCAATGGGGAAATTCTGGAAAAGGTGTTTTTCACCAATGTCAACAGAATGTGTTTGTGGCTAAAATTTAAAATATGTTGTTCGAGGTGGTATCATCCTAAGCACACGACCCCCCAGCTTCAAACATCGTCGTGGCAAAATTATGTTGCAAGATTGGACCAAAAATGCACAGCTGAGTCAGAGTTCTACATCTGAGCATAAATCAGTGGAAATCTTGAAAATTTGTCTCTCTGTGTGCAGAACTGGTTTAAATAAATAAAAGGTTTGCAGCTCTTGTTCCAGTCAAAGGGGGATTAAACTATGGAAGAGAAAACAGCATAGAAACATTTCAGCTCTTATTTGCAAAATAATTAAGGTTTTTTTTTTTGCTGTATTGTAGCAGAGCTTTGCAATTTTCTATCATGCCATACAAAAAAAGAGAGCAATACTTTTTCTTATGTTTACATTGGTCGGTCGGTTTACTTTGGCCTTACCTAAAATGTTATGATCATGTTTCAGCAGGGTATCAGAGCCAGGGCAGAATGCCTCCATTGTTTGCGAGGAGGGGACAGCAGCGCCTTGGTGTGCTGGTAAGTTGGAGATTTATTTTTTAAAAGTGGTTATTGGGCATTTTATAATTCAAAAACACTCTGATTCAGCAACTTCTTTAAAAATTCACATATTCTCATAAACTTCTAGGTTAAACACAGGATTGTTTCACCTCAAAACGTCGTTCCTCGTCCCAGAGAGGTCCCAAACCCCATCCTCTCCAAGTGCTCCCAGCTCGGACAGAGCTGCGTGCCTCTGTGGGGCTGCTGCGGTCGCTGTGAAACATGCCACTGCCGCTTCTTCAACGCAATCTGCTTCTGTCGGAAAGCCAAGTCCCAGTGTGGCATAAAATTACTGAACACAAAGTCAAAAAAGAGACCCAACCCTAAAAAAACACTTGGCCTTTGAAAGAAATTCAACTGGAGGCATCAGCCTCTGTGAACAGTCTAAATCAATGTATCCCTCTTGTAGAAGGAACCTGCTTAATTATAACCACTTTATAAACAAGTTTACATTTCTTTAGATATTTATAGGGCATCACCAGTAAGTTACATGTTATCCTTAATATTTGTAAGACATTGTTATATCAGTTCAATGCCTGTGATGAAATGGCTCATGTATTGCTAACATTCTATGGTTTTTTGATCATTTCTGAGTTCTTTATTATTGTTTAAATGGTTTGCCATACAATATTCATTTCTCTGTCCATTATTGCAAGAAAGATGTTGCCATATTCTAATGGGGAGCATGTGGCTTACGGTAGTTCAATCCGAATTGACTTTCTCACAGAAAACTGCCAGAAAAAAAGTATTACAAATGCAGCTTCCAAAAGACAGAACTAAAACATCAATGACAAGGTTTCTTTCCGTCAATAAAAACAACAACTTGTTTTGTCCACATTTTAACCATTTTGTTGCTCAATAGCAGATTGTGTTGCTATTATTGAGACATTACTTTATTCAAAGAGTGGGAATGCTTTTGCATACGGTACTTGAAATTGTTCTATTGAGCTTTTACCTTCAGATAAATGGCCCCATTGTCAACCAGGCAAAACAGACTGATTGCTGGGGGTTGGGGTGGGGGTGGGGGGGTAGTAGCTATGAAAACTTGTGGAGTTCATCCCGTCTGTGTTGAGTTAAAAAATCAAGCTATTAAATACAACAGTAATGGTTTGTTCTTGTTCAAATAAAAGTAAAACAGTCAATACGTTGTAGCTGCATATTGAAATGTTATGGAAAAAAAATGGCGTAACTATCCGTTAGCAGAGACTGCAGTTGTTTAGGGGCCCAAGACCTCTATGGGGCCCTGTCCCTGACACCTGGTTGGCCCCATACGCAATTGTGGACAGTAGGACGTCTCTTTGCAGATGTAATGGTGCAAAAATATCCTCTGAAACCCATCTGATACTTCATTGACTGACCAGACCTTATTTATAGGCGAACAAATGGCAGATTTCAACATGATGGTGAGCCGTTTAAACACGACACCAATAGCAAAGCTGACAGTGTTACTTTTAATTACTATGTTAATAACTGTGTAATGTTCGTTAGACAGTTGGTAAAAAATACACTCATATAAAATGTTTCAAACCGCAATAAAGATCTTAAAAGAACGATTAATTTTTGTATTTTATTTTTTACAATACCACTTGGAATTATGGGTAATCCAGAGCGTAGCTCAAAACCACACGTACAATGTGTTAGCGACTATGGATACCAAAAAGGTACTTAAGCGGATTCCAGAAAAGGGAAAGGAAAGAAGAGCTGATGGAAGAACGGAAAAAACTTCCCAAAATAAACACGTTCTTTCAAAGAACCAAAGATGGAGGACGTTGATGCTTCAGTGAGTAACAATTGCGACCAGGAGATGAATGGAGAGAGCGTGGGTGATGAGAGGGGCTGTGAAACTCAAGGTAGCCCAGTAAGACTCATTTTACAGCAGAATATACTAAAGTATATCCATGTCTAGTGAAGGTGATGGGGATTTGTACTTCATATGGGGCCCACCCAGATAATGTTGCTTACGGGCCTATTGTTGTGTCGTTACGCCAGTGATGATATACTATCCTATCATTGTGAAAGTAGACATTGGAATTGTGTATTTAAAATGGACCATGTAACATGACCTAATGAGGGTGCATAAATGAGCATGAAATCTTCCAGCATATATTGTTGTGTCCTTATTGAAATATCTGCTGCCAGGGGACTGCAGCCACAACTGGTCATATAGAAGCTAAATATAGGAAGAGCAACACAAGTCAAAGCCATCTAGAGGAAAGCATGGAGAACAACGCTTCCATTTCTGATAGAAATCAATGTCTAGTGGTGTAAGGGTATTGACCAGAAGAGTAACTTGGCTCCAGGCTTCTCTGTTGGGAAGTTGGGTGTTGATTAAGTTAAATACGCTCATTGTCTTGTGATGTCGTTAGCTTCCTGAAAAGTCCTAAAGAAATCTGCTCTAACAATAACCTACCCTCAGTTTGATGTTTAAAGACAAAAATGATTACCCTTGGTATTTTACTTGTATTGTTTCAATATGTTAAAGACATGTTATTGATAGAAAGCATTTTAACTCAATGATTATCTAGCTAACTAGACGCTAATTAGGTCTTAGGCATTGATGGTTAATCAAATAATCTGGATGCTAAATTAAACCTCTTTTCTCCATACCTCCAGGCTCCAGCATACTAAGGTTTAAAGGTCACATATTATTCTACAATTGAAAACAAATAAACAATGACCCTAAGAGCATGTTTTTTTTTCCATTTGTGCAGGAAAATCCCTCTCAGATTGGGCAGACAGCCTTTCCAAAGGTCTCCTAATTCAGCCCTACAACCCGCAACCATGACAACCAGTCAAGAGTTCGTAAAGATTGCTTAGAGGCATGGAATAACACATTAGATCGGTGGCTATAGTCCGCCCTGGACAGCTTATTTCCCCCTATGACATCATAAAGGGAGAGCTTTTCAAACAGTGTTTTTAGCACACATTAGCTACAGTACGAGGTGGAGAAAAGCAATATTGTTAATCTCATACACAGGCTTCAGGACACACATGACTGTTAAAAAGTGTTTAAAAAGTAAATTTTGTCTAATATGGGACCTTTAAAGTAATTTATCTAACTGATGTTTCTTGTGACTGGACACTTTGGAGGAAATTACATTTATCAAGAATGTTTCAGATAAAAATCAGAAAATGCATACATGAAATATCCAGACCCCTTTAAATGTTTCACTTTGTATAATTGCAGCCAATAAAGTAAATTTTATTTCTCATTAATATACACTCATCACCCGATCTCGGCAGACAAAAAAACAAAAATGTAGATTTTTGCAAATATAATAAAAAAAACCCCGAAATATCACATCTTCATAAATATTCAGACCCTTTGCTGCTATTTAACTCACATGCTGTCCATTTCTTCTCATCCTCCTTGAATCCAGGTGTGTTTAATTGAACTGATTAGACTGATTGGACTTGATTAGGAAAGGCGCACACCCGTCATCGCCCTTGTCATGGTAAAATTTTAATTTGTTTGAATAAAACGTTTTAAAAATCCCCAAAAAATTGTTTAAAATATTTTTTTTTCCCACTTTTCTTTTTAAAGAAAATTCAAAGAACATGATTAAAGGCGGTTACTGTGGGATGTTTAGTGATATAAATCCCACCTCTTAATGTAACTGGAGTCATGTAGAAGCCGTTATTAAACGTGAATATGTTACAAGAGCAGTGATTGTTGGGCTGTGGTCACCACCATACAGTTACCTAAGAAAGAATGCAAAATTTTTTTTAATCCCCGTTTATCATCACAGTACTAAATATAAGATTTCATGCTCAAATCGCCAAGCCCTAATTATTACTGAACTTTGAGATAAAATATCAGCTGTTTAGTGATTATTTGTCATGTGCAAATTTTCCTTCAAGTCCAAGAAAGTAGCAGAAGAAAATAATAGTTATAATTATAAGCATTGGATAATATTTAGGCCTCTTGCTGTGGAAAATGTAAATCTTACAATTTCATCTATGAAAGAAGGGAAAAATAACATTATGATTAGGATTGCTTAGCTCAGGTAAGTACTTAAACTTTTATTACAAATTTAAATTAAAAAAACGAGGATGCCTTTTGAGTTTGGTGATCACTTTTTTAATCTACTCGGAGGTTATTTAGCTTATTTCACTACTTATTCCATGGAAATTGTAGAAAAATTGTAGAAAACCACAATAGACTGGATGTATTTAAAGCTACTTATAGCAAGAGTGTGTTTATTTATTTATAATGTTATTTATATTAGTCTGTTTACAGATGTCTTTTTTTTTTTTTTTTTAGGAAGCAACAGTCTAAAAATCCAATCTGAACAATCTTAAAAGCTTTTTATAGTCTTTTCCTAAAGTCGGCCATAAGGTCTAAAACATTTGAGGAGAGCAAAGAAGCATAAAAGGAAACGGCACAAATTTTAAATGCTCTTTCCAATAATTCTGCATTCCTAAATTTGTCTTGGAACATTAGGCAGAGGTGCAGTCAGCCGGTTCAAGTTCTGTTTTCATGTTTAACTATATTTTGCTAGTTTTTAAATGCATGCATATTTTAACAGTGCTACATGAAATCCCCAGAGGGAACATCCCTAAGGAATAAATCCAAAGCAAAAACTGATAATCCAGACAACAGAGATCAGTAATAAAGCAAATCAGCACTAAAAACTAATCCTATTTTTAGAAAAGCTGCTACTATTTATTACCATGGTAGACGAGACCTTAAACAAAAAAAGACACCCATCTTCAATATGTTACTCTCTCTTTAATAATGTGAATATTTATTTACCTTATAAGCAGCATGTGTAACAGTGTCTACAGCATCATTTTCAAATCTTGTGATCAAAAGTTATATGTAATCAGACATATTAAATTGAGCCTACAGGTGTGTAAATAAGCTAAGGTGTAGTGTAATATTACAAAAAACATGGTATATCTGTCTATTCAAAACATTAATATATATACACACATAATTGTTATTTAAAACCTTTTCCATCAGAGGGAGAGAGGATATGTTTCATGCCCTGCACAAATCAACCAAAAGCCAAAAGAAAAAAAAGATAACAAAACAACCTTTCAAGGCACTTCATTACTCAGCAAAGCACGAATCAAACAAGACAGACATTAACATTTTAAACCTGGTAAGAAATCAGAAGCTTGTAGTGATCAAAAGGGCACGTCTTCCATCTTGGAAACAGTAAAAACATCAGAGCAGCCGTTAAGCTTCGTCATTCACCCATAAAGTGCATAACCTGACCTGCTCCAGGCCTTAAACCCCCTCATTACCTGATGATTGAAGAGCCAGAAGCCACAGATGGTCAGCTAACATGGCCGCCGTGCCATACGTCCGCCTCTTCAGAGTTAGATTACAAAACTATGGCTTGTGTTGGTGACTGGTTCACCAGGAAGCAGTCTAGATGGGATGTTTTTTTTTAGACCTGCGGTCTGTCAAGCCTTCCAGCTGTGGAGGATTTTTTTAATTTTTTTTTTGCCAAGTAAATTAGCACCATTTGTGATGTAAAATATGGGGTTCGATTCGCATCACTTGACTAAATCTCAACACAAAGTGGAGACCGGAAGCCTCTTGAACGATCACATCATCTGATAAAACAACGAGGTGTGTGGTTTTAATAAAAAAAAAAAAACTAATTCTTAGTGTTGACATATTTCATAGAGAATTAAACACATCAAGCATCAAAAGCAAATCATTTCAACATGAATCAATAACAGAGTCTAATATCTTAAAGTGCATGTTCATGTCAAATCCCCCACATATCAAACCAAAGCTGCACGTTAACATAAGGAGGTAAGGAGGAAAACCACTGAAGTAAACAGGCTGAAATGTTAAATTCAACCTCAGCTACATTATTAAGTAATGATTGGATTAACAGGACAGGTTCATTCTTTTCTTCCGTTTAAACGTCATTAAAATGATTTGTTTACATATCAGCTATGTGCTCCACATTGGTTCTGCAGTTTGGAGCTTCCATACCACACTTGGCACTTAAAACAAGAGGGAATGATGGCCTCTGGATGCAAACTGGCCCAAAATGGTAAAATGTTGGTTTATAATAAGTCAGTGGCAGAACAAAGTATTGACACGAGGGACCTGCATATTGAACCACCCAGAGCTTAACCTGATGATCTGCTCACACAGCCACATGGAGGTGCTGTCCATCAGTTCGGAGAAGATTTCTTCTCAAAAGGCAAAGAAATGTCTGAGATGTTGATGGTTAATTTAGTTGGAGATTGTCAGATTTTCAAAGAAATAAAGTCTTCCAGTTTGTCGAAGTCAAGAGAAATTTATATCGAGATTCCAGAGCAAAGGGATCAGCTTCATTGGAGTTTAAGTGTTTTAGTTGCCAGATAAAATAACCCACAGCTAAAGTCAGAGTCATGCTACTTCCTCTGAACTTTATGCTGCAGGGGAATAAACTCCCGACTCTTTCAGGTCAAACATCACTTCCAGCCTGAAACATGGAAAATAGAAGGATGATGGAGGCGAAAGAGAGAGAGGATAAAGGACAGGGCTTGGAGCTGATCTTAGGCTTTGTTGTGGAACAGCTGAGTGACCTGGATGACCGGAGGAGAGCTGCTCAGTGACGGCCTGCACCAGCAAGCAGAGGACCGCACGGGCTGGAGCCGACACCTGTCCCTGCAGAGACAAACACGCTTTATTTCACTACTTTCCGCCAGTAAATGATAGTTAGCTTATAACTTAGTAAAGACGGCAGATAAACTGACAGAAGAAATACAGAAATAAGATGTGATGCTTTGCAAAAATACCCATACCAGTTGAACTTTTACCCATTTTGTCATGAAATCACAAACTTTAATAGTTTAATGGCATTTAATTTAATGGATTAACACGGAAGTTGATCATTATGAAGGGTCAATTAAACTGTACATTATTTGATGTAACAGCAAAAATCAAGAGTGTGATGAGAATTTCCAAACTCAACAAGAGAAACTGCTTTCCCTGCAGCTACAGTTTAGGAAACAGCTCAGAGAGATATCAGGAAACATGAACCTTTAAATCTCAAATACTAACTTTGATATAGCTCTAGGCTCTGCACTGGAAAAACGATCTAGAACTAAGTAAACATTTCTTAACCCTCTCCAGGCAGATGTTGCAGATTTGCAACAGCTAAATGCTACTTAGCTAATTACTCCACATCCATATTTTAAGAGCTTTTGTTAGTCAGAACTAGAACAGAAGGACTTAGTTGTGCATTTACAACAAGCAGTTGTAACTGCACTGCTGACTCACTTTCAACATGGCTGACTCCTTGGTGTCACTGAAAAAAATTTTCTAAGCACCAATTTCATATAAGTATCACTACCAATTTGCATTATTTTGAAACCAACACTACATAAGATGAATCATGACTGTGTATAGATATGACACATGCCAGTTAGTAGATCTGGGTTTTTCACCAGAGGCATCTTGATTTCAATGTTGTGTGCCCAAACAAGTACCAATGGATGCTACATGCTTTATCTACTAATTTGCCTATATTTTGAGCAACAGTTTAACAGAAACGGCCATCTCAAGAGGTTTTGAGATGTTGGTTGAAAAAAAAGTTGTCTCTAATTTTGTGAGAGAACATTTTTTTTTTTCGAATTTTGTTTTGTTAATTTTTTGGTTGTGACATTAAAATAAAGTTAACGTTGATATCAGATTCAGTCTTCGGTGTTAATTTACCACTCCGGGCCACAGTTGCAAATCTGCAACATCCCAGAATTCATTGCATGTGAAGGTCTCTCTCAAAAGTAAGTCTGAATTGTATATTACTACCCCATATGACCATTTTCTAATATCAGATTTTTCCTGCAACTAAAACTAAAATCTGAGCCTGAGAGGGTTAAATTAAGTGTATTTACCCTTAATTTGAGTAGGTAAACGTTTGCCGATGGAATGAGTATTTTTACTCTTAAAATAAGATAATTAGATAATGTGCAGTTTAAATAAGACAATCGTATTTTGTTTTCTCATTTTAAGTGTAAATTGTGTTGGCAAAATGTCTATTTTACCTCCTCAATCCAAGAAAAAATGCACTTATTTTAAGACAAAAATGACTTATCTAAATTTTCATTTTTTCCAGTGTGACTAGGCCACTCTTAAACAAGAAGACATTTCAATCCAAATTACTTTTAGAGCAGCAAACCAGAGTTAAATGGCTTAATTATCTCCTCTGTCAGGGGCCTTGTCCCAATAGTTCACTTTCGCCTTTCAGTTGCAAAAGGGTTTCAACATATTTTGACTTACAGGAAGAAAAAAAAATAATTCAAGTAAGATGTTGGAAATCTGACAAAATGAGGAACAGTTCAAGGGGTGTGAATATTATTTAAAAGGACCTTTTAGGATGGAGCCAACCACTGAAAGAGACTGACAGACACAAACATCCCTGTATGAGAGGCGGTCAGTTAGTAGTAAATAACATTCACAAAGGCTTAAAGAAAACACAGAAGATGGCGGTGCGGTGAACCAGCACCACAGCTGGGAGTCGAGTCTTTTTCAGGTCGCGTCACATGAGACATTAGCCAGATTTAAAATGCACGTCTGCGTCCAGCGGCTGCCAATCCTCTGGAGGACTAACCCCAGGTTTTAAACATTTCTACACACTGAAAGAGCGATGAGGGAGGTGAAAGCTGAACTGATGATATAAAGAAACTCCTCCCAGCATTAACAACCGTTTCCACATAAAAAACACAGACATTACTGAGAAAGGACTCCCCTTAACCCCCCATTAGATTTCTTATATTTCTGTTATTTTCTCACCTAATATTTTCAAATCATTAACCCTAAAGGAGCCTAAATATTTTTTATTATGCCCTTACAGTTGAGGGATACGGGTTGGATTCTCTGGGCGTGTGCGTGGTCTGCCCTATTTCACCAGACTACTTTGTTGAGTTCACCACCATTGATTCATTAGCGGGAGAACACAGGGGACTGATGGATCAAAGAGAGGAGCTAAAAGTGCACCTTAAACGCCATCACAGAACTCTTGACTAGTTTTTAAAGGAGCTCCCGAGACCAGGAAACGAAAAAGGCAACTGCACTTCAACTGGTTCCCTTTTGTCTAAAAAGATGCTCCAGTTCATTTTTATAACTTTATAACCTCCTATGACATTTGGGTTTTTAACCTATCCACTTCATTTCTGGGAAATTCGCCTATTTTTCCTACCCAAATGGAAAAGCAAATAACTGAGGAACTGTAAGCCCAAATTACATGTGTGATACATTATTTGAAAGCTAAAACCTTCTAGTTTCTGAATATATACATGAAAATTGGGTAAGTAAAACACCCAAGTTGCATCAAACCCAAAATGCATCAGTTCAAACATGACTCAACATTTATTTATTTTTTATTCTCGAAAATAGTACCGGTAGGTCTTTTTTGAACAGCAGTTATAAAGACATGCTTGCTTGTCATGCTACATTTCAATATGGTGCTATAATTGTGCTTTGGTGCTCGTTATGTCCACAAAATGAACTTGGTGGTTTAATTGCGGAGATTCTAAGCTTTCCAAGGATGTCTAACATGTCTATATTGGTAAACATTTTAACAGAGTAATTTTCATGCATTCTGAGTTATTATTTGTAAAAGCTTTAAAATGGGTTGCAGGCGACCCGGTGGGTTTTGAGAGGTTAAAAAGCCCTGTTCAGTCGCAGTGGCATACTGCAGTGCCTTTCCTCTTCTCCCTTATGTACGCAAAACACTGGTGTCCTTTTAACTTGCTATCATAGGCGGCAAATGCCTGCAAGAACGATGTAAATTGGGCTATGCTTCTTTAAACTTTCAGTTAACAACCTTCTAACTAGCCTCTGTTTGATACCAGGTCTGTTTGCCTAAACCCTCGTATGATTTAACACTTTTAACTATGAGAAAACAAGCAGAAGCACAAGAAATCTGCAAGGAGGACAAAACACTTTTCCACAGCAACGCAACAGGAGCTGACATTTAGCATGCAAGGTTTGTAGAAAGAGACAGACGTGGAAAACAAAGCCCAGCCCATCTTTGAAAATCCTTGCAGCCCATTACAGAACATCGTCGTAGCGCAGGTTATGGGATGCATGTTACAGGCGAGAACATGAGACATCTGCTGCAGTTCAGCCTGACGGGCTGGCTTTAAGAATACCTGACAGGGAAGGATGCTCTGCTTTCAGACTGCAGCCGCACTGCTGGGAAATATGCAGGTAAAATAAACATCACATGGCGGAACACTTTAAGAAACTATAAAATAATGATAATGTCAAAACTAATTACTAAATAGATCAGCAAATCTTGAGTTAAACTATTTGCTGTAAGTGCATCTAGGGTGTCAACTTATCATGCATCAGATAAGGTCTTCACTGGAAAATTTTTCTTAAAATAAGTGAGTTTGTTCTTGAATTGAGGAGGTAAGAGAAATCTTGCAAATGGAACAAGACAGTTTACACCTAAAATAAGAAAACACAATTGTATTGTCTTATTTAAAGTGCATATTATCTAATTATCCTATTTTAAGACTAAAAATAATAATTCTATTTGCAAACGATCTCATTTACCGACTCAAATTAAGGGTAAATACACTTAATTTAAGACATTTTTACTTATTTCTAGATCTTTTTTTTTTTCCAGTGTTGGGACACTCTTGTGAAGCTCAAAACCTGTTTGGTGTGAAGGCAGCATTAAAACGATGTCACACCTATAAGGTAGGGTGGAGCATGAACTCATTAATCTTTTAATATTTGTTGTCTGGGTGCGTCTTTTACCCAGTGTCGTCAGGTGTGTCCTGATCTGCCTCCGCCGCAGAGGACTCCACATCCACGTCTGCGCTGCCCTCACTTCCCTGAGCCGACAGACCGCATGAGGACCCCGGGCTCGCACATCCCCCACTGCAAACAGATGGGCGAATGACAAAGAGGCAGTAAACACCTAGAGCAAATATTGTGACTGTGTGCGCATCTGTTGTTTCTGACAACTTCCACATTCATTCATTAAGTCAACGTTTGCACAGGTCCACTGACTTGAAGTGCTTCTCCAGCATCAGGATGGTCTGCTCCCTCTCCTCCAGCTTCCTCTTCAAGGAGTCGATCTCTTTCTGCTTCTCCAGCAGCTCCTTCTGGAGGCGATAGTTGCTCTCCTCCAGAGTCTCACAGAACGCCTGAGTGAAGGAAAAATTATTAAAGCATGAATCACAGATGTATGATGGATCAACACAAACCTCTAAAACTTTAGAGGTATGGCATGGGTTCATATCCAGGCCACACTACGAAAACTCATAAAGCACAAATGCTGTACAGAAGTTAACTGTTTGATCTAGAAGCAAACTCCACTTGCTAAACAAACATGGTAGTGGAATCGTACAGCTTAAAAGAGAAGGAAATTTGGAAAAAAAGGCCATAAGACTTGGAACTGGAACATAACTTAACTAACTAAACCACAAAGCTTATCCTACATGGTTTACTTTTAGGGGATCAAGATAGTTATCGTGCCAAAATAAAAAACCACCACCAAAATCCATGTCTTCATGCTAAAATCAAATCAAATATGTAATGCGTTCATCCTGATTGTGTTAACTTGGTCCTTTTGGAGCCAAGAAGTTTTGAACCAAAACTACTTAAACATCCAAAAAAAAAAGTTAAAAACAAACCACTGGACTTGTTTTGAGGAAGTTTCTCTTCCCATCCAGGAAGATTTCAAGTCAAAATGTCTGGAGTAGAAATAAGATCGAGGCTTTAAAAAAAAATAGCCTTGTTATGGCTTAGAAAGCATGCAAACTGAACCCAAAACAGGTCCACCCCTTAGTAATGGGGAGCTGTTGAGGTCGTTGTTTGCCTAAAAATTAACGACCCTCAATAAGGCTTTTGTTGGGATACTAAATAAAGCCTGGAACTTATCGCTACTCCAGACATTTTGAATCGAGAACGTTTTCTGGATGGGAAGCGAAACATCTTCAAACTTGGAAAACAAAGTGCAGTGGATTGTTTTTAACTTTTTCTGGAATTACCTGGATACCAGCATCTGAGGCTGTAACTTCTGGTTAACTGAACCTTAGTGTTTATATTGTAATTTGAGCACTGCTATTATTTTATCCGTCTTGTGATCTAAATTAGCTTTTTCCACACTCATAAGTTGGACATTTTGTCTTTTCACACCTCTGTCTGGCTCCATTACATCCTTGTTTACTAATTGCGTGCATGTTCAATACCGCACCTCTGGTCAAGTGGTGTTGTTATGGTAAATAAAGCAAACACTTAATTTTACTATCAATTGAAACAAAAATAACCAGCAACCAGAGTGAGCTACTGGCACAGAGCGTCATGAAGTCATGTTACATGACAGTGTCCCTTTAATCAGAAGATTAGAAAGAACCAGACAAAATCCAGGCATCCTCATCCAGTCGGTTTAGGAAGCTGAAAGCATGAAAACCTTTCAGATTCGTTTTCTCTTTCACTTTACCACTACCAATAACTTCGTGCAAATTTTTTTTGATCATATAAAAAAAAGCAAACAACATGTATGCAAAAAGTATGCATTGAACAAAAGTTGGAAAATTCATAAACAAAGTTTGGAATATCTCCTTAAAGTCATTAAGATATTTACTATTGTGGCATCTTATTGATCCCAACTGTTATTGTCATTTTGTATATACAGAATGTGTACAAAATGAAATGTCATATTGTACAGCTCTCATGACATTTACATTTTCTTAAAGTGCAGCAGTGATCATGAGGCTCTTCAGACTGTTTGTTCCAACTGGTAACACATAGTTTTACTAAAGCTAGAAGAGAGTAAGGATATAGTTTCATGAACAGTGCTCATAAAATAGAGCCCTGCTCTGTTTCCATCTGACCTTAAAATGAATCTTTACTGATCCTATCAGTGGACTCAGAAAAACAGTCCCTCAGACCACCTCTTGGTTCCAATTGAACAAAATGTTTGAACAGCATAAATTAAAGAACACCCCAGGCTAAGTTCCAGGATCACATCCTAAAAGACCTTCTTCTGTAAAAGCAGGATGAGGCTGGTTCGAGTTTTTCTTGCCAGTCAGGTGTTAGAAAATGAGCTGGAGCATATCTTAAAAACAAAAATCAACAGAGCTGCTCTCCCACAGAGCTCTCCAGCACCATGTATCCGTCAACAGCTTCCAGCAGTGAAAGCCCTGCAAAAGCTTATTAAAAACGCTATAAGTTATTTTCCCTTGCTTGCTTAATCGTATAGAAAACACCGGAGTTGTTTCACATGCATCCATCGTCTGTGACATTTAGGTATTTCAAGGGTTTTGCAGAAGTCGTCATTGAAATGGATCCCTCCTAACTTTCCAAATCATCCTCCTTATGCTTACTTTATTGTAGAGGTATGGCAAATTGGATCTATTATAAAACCCTTATTCTGCACAAAAACCTTCCATGCTCTATGAGCAACAGGAAGTGGGTGATCTTTGATTCAATACGATCTAGGACACAATTTTACAATTTCTACACTCAATTCAATTCAGTTTTTTTTCCTATAGTGCCAATTCACAACACATGTCATCTCAAGGCACTTTACAGTTCAACCAGATCATCCAGTCAGATTGATTAAAAAATTTCTATCTAAGGAAAACCAGTTGATTGCATCGGCTCATTGACTCAAATGCAATCCCTCACACTAAGCATGCTTGTGGCGACAGTGGAGAGGAAAAACTCCCTTTTAACAGGAAGAAACCTCCAGCAGAACCAGGCTCAGTGTGAGCGGCCATCTGCTGAGGCCGACTGGGGTTTAAGGAGACAGAAGCAGAGATACAAAAAGCAGCTGTAAAAGGCGGCCCCATCCAGGAAACATACAGCCAGTCAGACAAGCTCAGAGCCAGCTCCCATGTCAGAGGACGAAGAGAGCACATCCAGCCAGTCACAGTCAGAGAAACAGGACTACACTCAAACATTTGATCAAACTCTCTCTAAAGGTTTGAATCGACTGACTTCAAGTTAGGTGAGCGATTGAATTTAAAGTTATGAAAGTTTTTCATACATGCCTGAGTGGGACAGTCTGACCCAAAGGTCTGAATCTTTGACCTAAATGTTGCAATTTTAGCCACTTTGCACAGTGACGGGTCAGGTTTGGCCCGCGAGCCTTAGGTTTGACACGAAAATTGTCAACTTAAGGAGCCATAGAATATTTAAACAGCTGCATCACCAGATGTTTATTTTCTCATAAATGTATTACATAATTTTGGCCCCGCCCACTAAGAACACAAGCTTGTGCTGAATGACCCTCCATGACTGTATAGCTTTCAAACCTTGTCTAAAAACACACAGAAATTTTAAACCCTTTTAAAAACAAAACTACAGAAAGTCCTCATAATGCTTCACACCAAACAGGAAGTGATTTCAGCATCCAAGAAGAACAGATATCAGCCATCTTTTGAAACCTTCTCACCAGAGCCATAGTGAGCTTGACTGAACGCAGCATCATGCATGGTTGACAGGCTCATTGGAGGCTTTGAGGTAGAGCTGAGGTGTGAAAAGCCATAAATGCTGCTTGCAGCTTCAATCTTATAAGCTAAGCTTCATTTCCATCCTCCTATGTCACAAAGCTTCTTACGAGATCTTAAAAAAAATATATAAAATGAATCATGTGGCTTAATAAACATCAACGTCCAAAATTATAAAAAACATACTTTGAATTCTTGTCATCCATAGATGGCAATAAAACATTAATAAGCCTCCAACTATCCTGTAACAAAGGACACTACAGCACATCTATCTTTTTTGTTTACCCTGCTCTCCTCAAGGCTATCAAAAGGCCCAGGTGGGTCATCGAGGCACAAGAACTCCCTCACCGGAAGGCTGTCAAGGAGAAAAACAGAGACATAACCACGCATGAGAGTTTTGAACAAATCAATGAAAATACAATATAGACCATGTATATGAGGCAGATATAGATTCTGGAACTACTCAGTTGAGAATCACTGATATGAGAGGCAGAATCAGCCAAAGCTAGATGGTGTGATCACTTTTAGGATGTAATCACAACATGAATTTAAAAAGTAAATGTTAAGGAAACAGCCAGCATGCAGCAATGTTGGGTACCAGTTGGCGATGTCTTTGTGTGCAACCAAGTTCTGCAAAAAAGCCTGTAGTCCCAGCTGCCTGTCCTCCAGGAAGTCCGTGTCGTAGTTGTCTTTAAACCACCTCTTAGGAGGCAGCGAGAGCCGGAAGCCGGGGAACATTTCCTTTAGCTGGGGAGAAAAAAAACAGTAAGAAAATATTTTAGCATCATGTTTGTTTACAGGAAAATTAACTGAGCTGAGTTGCCAGATTTCAAAGTACAGGACAAACCCTCTATTCACCACCAGCCATTGTAGTAGAGAACAAAACCTGCACGGCTTCTACTGTTACCGTCTCCCTGAGCGCTCCGGTTTTCCAAAGGAAAGCTGCTTAGAAACCAGGCAGGGACACAAATTTGTGATTTGTGTTACCAATGGACTCTATTTGCCAAAGCAAATTATCAGTTTAAATTTCAAGAATCTATTCAAATTATGCAAGATTTACATTTAGATTAATTACCTTCAATCTGATTCGATCTCAAATTGGATGCAGGTATAATAATTCTTATCCATTACCTCCATTAAATGATGGTTAAATGATGCAACATATCAATACTAGTATTATATCAACATTAAAAAGCAAATGAATAAAGTACGGCAGCTAATAGAAGCTGTAAGGATAGTGGAAAATGCTTTTTTTTAATTAAATAATTGATATTTTGTTATACGACTCGATCTTTAGGATTTCATAAGAGAATTTATTCAGAATAGGAAAATCTATTTTTGTAATACAGCCATACTACTTACGGTAAAGGTTGCTAGTGAAGAAAATTGGTTGTATTGGACTACTTTTTTTTCTTTTCACCATAATTATGCTTTATCTTAGGGCTGCAGCTAACAATAATGTTGCTTATCGATTAATCTGTTGATTAGTTTTTCGATGAATAACCGGATAGCAAAATATCTTCTTAGGAGATTGTTTCTGTTTTGTTGTTTTACAAAATTCGGAGCAGGTAAATCAAACACTTTGAGAAGTTCTGGATAGGACATTTTTACAGACAAAGAAGGATTCTCATCTAAAATGCAAAGTATAAAAAAATTGTGTATAGTTTTGGTTTAATTTCGG